TTTTAGATCAACAGCTTTTTGGACAGTTTCATACACTTTTTAGAGTTGAGATTATTGAATATCAATCATAACCAGAAATAGTTAAGAAGTGTTTGGTTTAGACTTTAATCATTGATATGGGATATTTAACCATTTAGTGGTTACAATGTCATTAAATGAGAGTATATAGAATTCATTATTAATCATAATGAAGGACATTTGCATCTGTTTACTCTTTTTTTTGTTCACAGTTTCTGTGAGTTACTATCTGTTTCATATCAGAGTAATTTAGAATGAAACTTAGTGATATCCCCTCATGGACCATTGTGAGACCATTATATTGGGTGAGGACAGTCAGTTTAAGTTGTTGGATTTGCAGAATATTGTGTATCTTCACATTACAATGATATGAAATTTTAGGGAGTTGGCAAACAGTTCTGCCAAAGGACATATGTTAAGGGGGAACAGTAAAGATACGAGGACTGAACCCTAGGGAACTTCTCACAGCAGGGGAGCAGCGGAGGACATGACTGTTCATACAGATCTTGAAATATCTAGAAATATCCATTAGAAAGCAATCAAACTAGTTTAAAGCAGCTGTATCAGAAATATACATGTGCAGAGAGATGGGAGCAAAGTGAGACAGTAAAGCAGCACAGATTGATGGATGTGATGAAACTCAATCTCAAACCATCGGTCTGGCTTTTGAAAATGATCCATTTTTACCCTTAGAGATACGGATTCTGTCTTCAGTATGCGCACAAAGCGACCACATCAGTACATCTGTGGCAGTGACACAACAGCCGATATTACCTCATTTGTCATCCTCCATTTATAGCTGGATTGATTTGAAATTGAACAAATTAAAGAAAGAGACATTTCCTGGTCCAATTGGACAATTAGATCATCCTTAAATGTCTTCTGTTAGAAATGCCAAGTTTAATTTTACACTTATTGACATGTAGTTGATGTGGATGACATTACTCTAATGATTATTCATGAGACTTTCCTGTTATCATCTCACTGTCTCTCAGCAGGCATATCATTAGATCATAGCTCAGCCTTAAAGCAGCATGTTATAATTAAATAAATCTTCCTGATGATTTACTGACCACTGTTTAAACAGAGGGCCAATCATCTTCCAGCATTAAGTACAATACTTTTAAAGACTATGAAACATGGACTTAGTCTTAGCGACCTCTCCCATTGGTTTCTGAAGCAGCCATTTGGTCAAATCAGCTGCTCATAAACAACACAAGTAAAGAGTTTTGGTGATGGACACATTGGTGTTTGATATGCTGATAATAATAATAGTAAGTGTATCCCTCTGTTTTGCCCATCTCTATCATTCAGGTTGTTTGTAAGGAGGTGGAAAATCCCCCCAAGCCAACTCTACATCCATCTGTAAAGTGCTGCTGGTTTGAGTTTGACACGTAACTTGACACTTGTCTTAAGTGTTGATTCATCACTGTAAAATGAGCTCTTAAATAGAAAAAAATATCAAGAATTGTATTTGTTTCAACAACAGGTCTTGGCTGTATGAAAAAAAAAACTCACTGTGGTTTTAGTTTAGTAACATGGTAGAGTCTTATTTGTTCTTTCAAAACACAGCACTTTAAAGCCTCAGAAGCAGAAACAGCTCTCTCAAACATGATCTAAAGTGTTCACAGTATTTATATTGGTAGACTCTGAAGGATTTCTGTTGAGACATAAAAACTAGGAATAATGCCCGCTACAAGAGACCCTTTGAGGGGTTAGGGTTCCTGCAGAAATGAAATAAGTGCCTTCAGTCCCTCAACCCTTGAAGAGGGTTTCTGTTGTGAACAGTTACATTTTCAGTATCATAAGATAGTTGCACAAAAGGACCAGTTCTCACTGTCAAGAATAAAGGACAGCAGGTAGTCTGTACAGAGACACATACCCACAGTGTAGACAGCTTTTAGAGGGAGGTCTGGGTCTCTCTTCAGGAAATCTCAAGTATCCATCTATTGATCCATTTTTTCAGTTACTCCAGGGTCGGGTGGTCAGGGTGGTTGTCTAAAGAAGTTGACCCAAGTCTCCCTGTCCTTTCTTCCGACAGGGCTTGCAAAGGCCCCTTGGATCTCATATTCCTGCAGTATCCCCCACAAGACCTCGGAGGGACAGGATCAAAGGCTTTCTTCAAGTCCACAAAACTAAGCCAGACTGGATGCACTCCCATGTCCCCTCTAGGGTGCAGAGCAGGTCCACATTACCACAGCCAGGGCAAATCTGAATCAGAATCACCTTTATTGTCATTGTACACAGTACAACAAGATTTGCATTGTTCCTCTTGTACCCAAGGTTCAATGATTTGCCAAAAACTCTTTTCCAGTTTCTCATAAAGTAAAGTAACGGCACAAAAGACAGATGCACTCTCTCAGAAAAAGTGTCCTTTCTTTTCAGTACTAAAAACTGAATGTCTAGAGAGCAATATTAGAATTTGATGAACAGAGAATTTAAAACATCACTCTGTTTTTTCAAACATTAAAGAAGGCAAACGAACAAGATTAAACTCCTTTCTGCTTAATCTTTGTACACTTGACACGACCCTCTTATTATATTTCTCTTGGACTCTGTATCTAAATGAAATCCTTGCTCATTTATAAAGCACCAGGAAAGTTGATTTCTCTCCATCCTGAACACTTTGAAATGCCAACAGTGCTTTGCAGTTATGTGGATGCTGACTGAGTGTGTTGCTGACTTTCGGAGATCCAACTGGAGCCTGCCAGGAGGTTTCAGATCGAACTGCTTCAACATGTAAACTCGGTGTCCCTGGAGGTGTGAGATATTAGGTTTAGGAAAGGTTTCCTTTGGTCTCCTAAAGCCGCTATATCCTCGAGAAAATTGGTTTTTGGACAAAACACTGTGCAGAGACAGATAGGGAAAACATCCTGAGAGGAGGGCAGAGAAATCGAGACAAACAAACCCTTCACTTCCGGATGTTTACTCTGCAGAGACTGTCAATCTTCTCTTATTTGCTGTAAAATCAGGTGTTAAAACCTTATTTTCGGGGTACTAGTCGAACAGCGGCAGCTGGTTCAAATAACTCCACTTTATTCCTCAGCATATTAACTCATTTCACGATCATTCTTCAGTCAAACATATTAATCCCTTAAATCTTCATTTAAGATCTTCAAAGTCCTCGGAGCAACTTAAACTACTGTGGAAATAAGTGCAATTATCATGCCTCACTGGCAGATTTTGGCTCACTTGTTAGCAAAAGAAGAATTTAAGAGAGACTAAATGACTTGTTAAGATCAATATTTATGCAGAGTAAACATCTTCTGATGTTGTGCAAGTGAAGAAGAGAGGAGTGCTTTGCATGATGATCTTAGAGGGAATTGAAGTGCAAATCAGCTCCATTTACGAAGCAAGCTGCAGCTTCATCACAGTGTGTAATCCTCACATGCAGACACACCTGCAGTCTCACATGTACAAACTGTTTGAACAGCTGACTGGTTTTTTAGGATCAAAGCAGTGTAATCTAAGTTTTGGTCTAATTAGAGAACCACACACAGACTGGGAGATTTGAATAGAACAGCTGTTTTTATTTCAGGAGGAGAGAGAGGAGGGATAATAAAGGGCTTTGGGCTGCAGTGCTGCCGCTCAGATAAGGACTTTTTGTGTTTTTATGGGCCGAGTTTTATGGAACAGACAGACTTCTCTTGTCCTAAAGGAGTGAGAGGTCTGTTAGTTTTCATTGCACTCTTTAATTCTTTCATTAGAGAGGATTAAGTGGGCTGTAAGTGACCGAAACAGGTGATCAAACACTGAACGGGTTGATAATGGCTTTACATATCAGACACAGGCATTAAATGTGCATATGCATCATTAGAATATCAAATCAGTCATTTTGAGCATCATAACTCCGGCCAATATAGTCAATTCAATATGATTGATTTATAAATAACTGTAGGACAAAAACAAAAAAAATCAACTCCTAAGCTTGGGCCCAATAAAGAAAGTTTAATGTTGGAGATGATTGTGCATCATGAAGTTCATCCACAGTCAAAAAAATATCTACATATAACAGGCCAAATACAGATTACTGAAATATTACAGTTAAAGCTGCAGCAACAATTCAAGTGTTCAACCAAAGTCTCACATGGAAACTGAGACTTAAAAGTTATTCAGCCTCCTACATCAATGAAGCCGATTTTTCACAAGATTATTTTAAGTTTTTCAGAAACTAATGAGAAGTGAGACGTGACTTGACCAGGACAAAAACTTTGCATGAATCATTACATCCTAACATCAGGTCAAGGGAAGTTTGCATAATATACTGTATTTGTGTACCAATGAGTGTAAATTTAAACCCTACTTAAAGACCATTTTGGAGGTAATCTCTGGTCAGGAATGAAGTTTACGCTCCATTATCATCTTTTGGTTGCACAGTTGAAATAGTTTCAACGCAACTTGATATGTGTAGATGTAAATGATGATTTAGTTAGTCTGGACCTCATGGTCTACTCGAAAAGATGATGATTAAAACCATCAACTGTATAGAATGGACGCCATCTGCCTCCGAGCTGGGTGAAGCCACCGTGAGGACAGCCCCCTCTGGTGGCGGGCTGCAGTATAGGTCATAAATCCCGCCTCCTCCAGCAATCCCTATGGAACTGTGGACAAACTTTAGAAATTTATAACACAGAATATAATTTTTTCTCCCCCCTGGTTGCGATGTTGACATGTAGTTACTGTAAGACTGGTTTGTGCTCAAGTCCTCTTTTTTCTGTACAGCTCCATTTTTAAAAGTTATTAGGGGGTTCATGTTTTTTTTATGATTGACACTTGATGCAGCCTATGGGTGTATGAAGATTGCGTAGCTCACCCAGGAGAAACACTGTTTGAGCCGAGCGTCATCACAGCAACTCAGGGGAGACTCCCCTGCAGAATGCATAAAATGCTACTGCGCAAGTGGTGGTTCCAGGAAATGGAGAAATTCCCGGAAATACCAAAAGAAATTTGACTTTAAATTTGCATAATGACGGAAGGCAGAGCCAAGTTGTCCATAGTATATACAGCCTGTGGTTATGTCCCTAAGTTGCAACCAAACAAGGATACAACTCCAGCTACAATGTAACTAGTTTCACCTCAAAGTTTAGTGTGCAACAGGCCAGAGGCGTTCATCTTTTTTGACCTGTATGTACCTGACCTGGCCTACACTCTGAGCCCTGAAAACCTTATAACTGAGCCCAAATCATCAGCAGTCTGTGGAAAAGCAGGGGTATTGGTGGGCGTAAATACAGATGACCTAATTCTAGCTTACAGGGATGGAGTGAATTATGATTGAATGAAACCACGTTTTGTGGTCAGGGAAGAAAAAAAAGTAAGTTCTGAATGAAAGCAGGTTGATTTACACCACTGTTTGGAAAATCTGATCTGGCAGTGTCTCTCCACCACAGAGAGAAGAATCATGAAGAGGAGGTGGCAGGGAAACAGAGATTAGAGAAAGAGGAGGAGGCTGCGGTTATCCTTCCTCACTTTATTTCTGTCAGCAGGGATATGCCGCCTTAAAAGCTCGTCCTCATTTTAACACAGCCTCCCTGATCCTTGAGTCAGTCTATCTTTAAATCCCTCCATCTATCCTGGAGATCCAGCAGCTCAAGCCAGGCCATTACAAATGGAGAGACTGAGAGAAAGGGTGAGGAAAAGAGGAGAAAACTCTCTGGATCAGCAGGTGGAAAGAGTTTCCACATGAGAACATAAACTGTATAAAATGTGGTTCAGATGTAATGAGTTTCATCTGAGCTCGCTGAAAGTAGTCTGCTTCGATATCCTGCTCAGTGATGAATCTCTTGTCTCTCAGGGCTGTCTCACAGAGGGGTCAAAGGTGATATACCACTCCTGTCAAAAAAAGATACAGGTGACCCAGGGATCTTGGCTCACCCTGGATTTATACAAAACAGCTCCATGTTTGCTCTTTTTGCATCCACATAGTGATACATCTCTTAAATTCTTGCTCTCAGAGTTCTTTGGCAGAAATATGTCTGGAGTCAAGTGTAAATTACGACCATATGATAAAGAGGAAATTCATCACAGGCTACATGAGACTTCCAAGAGATATTTAGCAGAGAGAAATATTTCCTGCTGAGCTTATTTAGCAAACATCCCATTTCTCATTAGCATCCAGATGCACAGCTGCTGAAGTTTTTTTTTTTTCAGAATCAATTTGTTTGTGTCTCTTTCCCTGAAGCAGCAGAGAAATAAACGTACATGCTGTCAGCTTGAACCACCGCTCTCAGTGAGGAGCTGAGGTCATGTGTAATGAAACAAACAACACCCCCTCCCATCGCCTGACGTCTTCTGGCACAGCAGGCGTCCTCAGATGACTCCTGCCAGGCTGAGGGTGAGTAAGCAGAAGAAAAGGAGGGGGAGGAGGAAATGCCTGGAACTGCTGAGGGAACGGCATCATCCCACGAATCAATGAGTAAAAAATGGGGGAAAAGTAGCCCACTGTGATCCACTGTAATCCACTCGACACCACCTGTGGATTACAGACTCTAGTGAGGACAGACTGTGTGGGTTTGAGGGGGGTGTCTCTGCTTTAGATAAAGAGAGAATTCATTTATATCCATAACTTACCCAACAAAGTAGGATGAAAGTATGGAGATCAGGCAGTGAGAGGAAAAGAAAAGGGAGGTCAGACAAAGTACAAAAGGATTATTCTTCCTCTGTCTGCTCTTTTGCTGGCAGAAATTGGCTTGTTTGCAAAAATAAAAATATCATAACTTTGAACCGATGACAGAAAGGGTTGTGTGTGTCTTAGTGATATACAGATGAGCCCACGAATATTTTTTTGTTGTCTCTTTCAGTCTTTAACTTAAAAAGTACAGGAATTTTCATCTCATCTCTATCAAACCATTTTTTGTGACATTTACCACTAAACTCCATCACATAACACCATATGCTTTATTAATACCAGAGCAATCTTTTAAGAAATGCACCATGTTGTTATAAAAAAAAAACTCCCCAGTTAAAGTTCAATAAAGCACTTTGTAAAATTTGGTACTTTACAGTTTTAAATCACTCTACCTATTTTTTAAACACACAGACTAGAGATAAATTGTTCTCACTTATCTATGAAAGAAACTCCCCAGTATAAATTAAACAAAAAATTTTTGTAACTGCCTCCCTAAAAAAAAGGATTAACACAATATTTACCATTATCTTGCTAGTAAAAAAGCAATCTCTATTTCAAGTTAAGCAGTTCACTTTTTATAAATTTTTCATTAAACAGTGTCTGTGCAATTTCAAAATAAAAGAAAATTGAACTGCAACTTTTGCTGAAAAGAGTGACTTGAATTTAAAAAAAAAAACTTATTTTGTTATTTTGTGAAGTTGTGACTTGCAGCAAAGAGTGAGGGCCAGAAATAAATTAAACATGAAACTCAGAATTCAGAATCTCAACTTAAATGTCACTAAGTCTAAGAGAAATGAAGCCCTCTGGAAAAAAGGCAGTATTCAGACTTTGATATTTAGGGGAAGAGTCACAAGTCTAGGGTTAAAGTTGCGGTTAACTCTAACTCACAAACCTTAAAGACCCACTCGGACATATCATGAAAAAAAATCACTGTGAGTCTCTGGCAGACACAAACGGCAGGTTCAGACACAGTGGGATTTCATATGTCACAACTGCAAGCTCTGCTCCCGGATCCCCACTATGCAGGCAATACTTTGAGAAGTAGAGAGGACGATCGCAGAACAAGTAAGTGCGGTAGCGGATTGCAATGCTCTTAAGAAAGCTAATTATGGTATTAACGTTCATCATGTCCCCAAAGACATTAGTGTACCAGAGCTGAGACACTAATGTTACCTGCTACTTCTACTACAATTACAATGTTAGGCTGCAAGCTAGCGTGAAGAGGAGTGTGCAAAGCAGTGCTGTCTCCACCCACAACTCAGAAGTGAATTTCTAATGAGCAACTGGAGCTCTGCAAAAGAAAAGTCCTTGAAAATGACACAGGTAATGTGATTTTGGCAAAAAACTTTGATAATGATTGAAAGATCACTGAGAACACTCTAAGTAGTAAAAAAAAAAAAAAAAAAGATCAGATCAGGGTGGAACTTTAACAAACATTGGAGATCTTTACCATGGAAAATGTATAATACAATAAAAATGCTGTTTTGTTAAGTGTAGGAGATTAATTAGTCTGACACCTAACCCCACGACTGGTCTTAGATTTCAGACAGAAATAACCAATCTGACAATCCACTGGGTTTGCTTGTTTTCTGTCAGTCCTGTTTCAGCCAGTTACCAGCAAAAAACTCCTTACACTAGCTTTAAAGGAACTTAAGAACTGGTGCATTTATTATGTCTAATTCATGGCCATGCATTTCAGTGATACTTTGACAATAGCCCGCATATATCTAAAATCATAACAGCATTGACGTCCTTTCAATATAAACCAGGCCTGTATGAATCAGAATGAAGGATGCCCACTTTCTGCCTCTGCAGCAAGGTGGATGAAAACACATCAGCAAGAGGAAGAGGAGGTGGGAAGGGGGTGGGGGGAGGGGGTGAGATGATGGAAACGGTGGAGGTAAGTGTGACAGCTGGTGCAACACTGCCCCCATGTGCTCTTCCTCTCCTCTGCTCCCCTGGCAGCCTCCTGTCTGTTTGTCCGTCAGCACAGGGCCGTTACATGATGCTCCTTGTTCAACAGCTGCTACACAGAGCTGTGTTCGTTTATGGCTGAGGCTTTATGTGGCTTTGAGCCGGGATCCCTCGTCCAGCTTAAACCCCCATCACTCCAACCTCCGACACTTTCCCTCCTTGTTTACAGGGGGGAAGACTCAGCCAGTAGATTTCACGTCAGTCAGCAAAATAAAGGAGAGAGAGCTGCCAAAACTCTGTCAGTGCTGAAGATAAAGAGAGACGAGCATCACACTTTGCTGCAGGACTTTTCTGCTGACACTTTTCTACCTGAAGAGTCATCGGAGGAGACGGATGTCTTTTTAGGTTGGAGAGATAAGCAGAAAAAGAGGCTTTGAAGATCCTTAATGTTATTCAGATGCTGCTGACCTTTCTCGTGGCATATTTGCTGACTTTTTTGAAAAGGGCAACGATGAAAAATAGGAGGAGTTCTTTTCACAGAGGCAGAAAGCAAAGAGGAGGAAGCTGACAGAGTTTGCAAAGAGCGTAGGGCAGATGAGAACACAGATCCAGGCTGCTCTGTGACACAAAACAGTAATAATATCATTCCAGAAACAGGAAAATAAACTCATGCCTCAGATGGGAACAAAAGGGGAGCATTTAAACCAAGTGAAACAGTTAGCTAAAATACCCAGCAGTGTCTGAAGGGAAGAGTTATAATAGGCAGCACTTTAAACACTCCTTTTAAATAATAATGACTATTCATTTGGTCTTTGTGTGTTTTTCAGTCATAATCTCATGTTTTTAACAAGATAAAAGATTTAAAAAGAAGAGCAGGATTATTCTATTGTTGTTGGTAAAAAGCAGAACTTTTTCCTCAACTCTGGGGTGCAAATACACTCACCGATCACTTATGAGGTACATCTTGCTAGTACCAGCTTGGCTTCTGACACCTTGTTGTCCTTTCAACAAGGTGTCAGAAACCTTCCTCAGAGATTATTGTCCAAAATAACATGATAGCATGGTGCTGCACATCCATGATGTGAATCTCCCGTTTCACCACAATCCCATAGGTGCTCTACTGGACTGAGATCTGGTGACTGTAGAGGCCGGTGGAGTACAGTGAACTCTGTCATGTTCGACAAACCAGTCTGAGATAATTTGAGCTTTGTAGACATGGTGCGTTATCCTGCTGGAGGTATCCATCAGAAGATTGGTACACTGTGGTCATAAATAGATGGACATGGTCAGCGACAAGTAGGCTGTGGTGTTTAAATTATGCTCAGTTGGTACTAAGGGGCGCAAAGTGTGCTAGGAAAATATCCCCCTCACCATTAGACCCCCACCAGCAGCAGCCTGAACCGCTAATATGAGGCAGGATAGATCCATGCTTTCAGGTTGTTTATGCCAAATCCTGACCCACCATCTGAATGTTGCAGTTGACATCCAGACTAATCAGACCAGGAAACATTTTTCCAATCTTCTATAGTCCAACTTGGTGAGCCTGTGTGAACGGTATCCTCTGTTTCCTGTTCATAGCTGGTCTTAGCTGACAGGGGTGCCCTGGCGTGGTTCTCCATCCAAGCGCCTCCTCTTTTTTTATGCTGCATCTGATTTAAATAGTGCCATACCTGTTCTCACTGATGCCTTTGCTGTTCTGTACTGGAGGTCTTTGCTACTGCTCTCCCTGCCTCATGCTTTGGTAGTTCATACTGTAAAGTTGAAAAGGTAAGAATCATAAAGGCATGATATTATCATGATTTGTAGATGACGAGATGAGGAGGAGTACTGATGTCAAATGCTGTGGACTTAATACAAGCACTTTTGTTTTATTCCCAATAAGCTAAAGAAAACTTGCAGCCTTCCACGATTGCAGGTTCTAGGGGAAGGTACATTTGTGAATCATCAGTGTAACGATGAAAAGTAATGTGTTTTTAAATAATATGGCAGGATGAAGGCAAATAGATAGAGAAGAGGGTTCGACCAAGGATGGAACCTTGGGAGACACCACTAGCAGATACCTTACCTCTGGATGAGAATACCATGATCTGCAGATAGATCTGCAGATAGATCGAGGAGTACAGTTTCCTGAATCAGCAGCTAAAAGAGAGTGGTATGAAGTATTTGAGCCCACACACCAATAGAGAGTGTTTAATATTGCATCTTTGTTATTACATTGGCACTAAGGTTATTAGAGAACAGCCAGATAAGATGGTGTTCAAGTTTGTCCTGCTCAATGTTCAATGTTTGGGGGGTTCACACCTGCAACTAAAAAAAACCTCAGAAGATATATCAAATTAAAACTAAGCATTTTCAGAGAATTCAAAACCAAACTAAAAGTAAAGCCTCAAAAACCTATCAGAACTAAACTGAAATTAAAAAAATGCAAGCCATTCTGAAATTAAAATAAAATCCTTGCTCAGCATTAGCTTTGCCCTCATCAGTTAATGCTATGCCCAGATGATGGCAAAGTAGGTAGGTCTCACATTCATTGAATGATTTGTTTATCCATCGCTTCCTTGTATATAAAATCCCGGATAAGTCACAGTTCATGCGCATAACTGTAATAACGAGACAATAATTCAAAACCTTTCACTCATGTCTGTGTTCTCATGGGTTGATGGAGAGTTCTTCAAATGCAGCATGAAATTGACAAAGTCTGAGCTCTCTATGATACACTTTTGTAATTATTCTAAAACACAGCACCTCATAATTGTACTGCTTACAACTAAATCTTTCTCAGTGCTCAAAGACTCGTTTTGAATATGCTCAAAAGATGGATTCACATGACATACTGTAATAAACCCAGCTTCCCTGCTGTCTAGTAAATTTTATTCTGACAGGATAGAGAAAGAAATAAAAGTGAGCTCCACTTTTCCCTTGTTCAGCACGACGGAGGCTTTGTTCTTAAAATAGTCTGCCTTGTGATTTAAATTCAGTCTGGAGTATTCGGAGCAATGAGACGAGATCAAAGAGGTCTCTTTAGACTCACTTACTGCAGAAAAGAGAGCAGGCGGGAGAAGCGAGCAGAGAAAATACAAGTCTCACCGGATCACACAGGGAAATTGTTCTCTGCACACTTCCAGCAAATCGTATTAGATAGAGTCACTGTGGCAACGAGAGAAGATAATCTTTAATGTGCTCTTTAATGAGAGGGAAAATGTTTGTCTCTGGTGATTGAGGCTCTTGCTGAGCAAATTATATCCAAATCACTCCACCAGCATGGGCTTTATCACTGATGAAAAGAGGCTAAGGGATAGCTTTCAATTAGTGCATTAGATTGACACAATCAGAACATGTAATGGGTTTTAAGGCCTTGGCTGCGAGCTCATCACTCAATGAGCGGCTCCAAAGAGGTCGTCATTAGCTAACTGGAAGAGGACTCTTTCTTTGGTCGCTTCAACAGAAGAGGAGCTTCAGCTAATTTAAAATCTACTAGTGAACATGCAGAGCAAACACCTCACACACACTGGGAGGTCTGGACACATTTGACTGGTTTGCTGTAGACGACTGTAGTCACTCACCAGAGCTTTGGACAACAGTAGCTGCTCCAAAATTGTCTTTTTTTTCTCATTTAAGTGGGACATTTTTCTAAATTGACACATGGTTTAAAAACATAGATGAAGAGTTTTTCATGCAATGGTCATTGTTAAGGCCATCCATTTGGAGAAAAAAACTCATAAAATTACGACAATAAATTTGCAAAGTTGATTTACTTTGTTGTAAACAAGTATCTTAATTTGGAGAGGAGGACAAGACCAGCAGCTAGCCTCCAAAGCTAATATGAGGAACATGGAACATCTCTTCAGGTTTAGTCAGGATTTCATGAAAAATAACCAGATGTCTAATTCGTCAGGTCATCAGCGCTTGTCATAATAATCAGAGGTTTGAATCAGTTGTATTAGAAACCAGGTTTATCATAAACACACTAAGAGACAGCCTGTGAATGCCTCTGTGAACCTCTGTTTATTCTCAGCTGTTGAGTTTGATTTAAGATCATCCTCTATTTACACAGTTAACCATAGCATACAATTGCTAATAAAATTACAACTTCTCTTTGATTTAAAACATTACTACTGAAATTTATGACCTCAATCTTAACATATTTATTTTCATAAACTTGTGAATTTGCTCCTGAAATCTCATTTCCTTTAATTTTGTGTGACTGTAATATTCCATCAAAGCTTCAGCAACAGTATAGCAAAAAGAGATGGACTGACCTTTTATACAGAAATGTTGTACATACCTTTAGAAAACCTGCCTTACAGGTCATAAGTATCATCCCGTCCTCCTGTTCTGATGTTGCGTTTACATGATCCACCTGCAGTTTACAACACATTTGGAGAATTAAAAATTGAGGGAGTTTAGTTCACGAGATTAACCTTTAGAGTTGAAGATTTACATGAGCACAACATTGTTTTGGCAGGTTTTTGTAAACCTGAAATGGTTTGTGCATGTAAGGTTCCATTCAAAAGATGATTTTGCATTGATCATAACCATAGGTTGATTTCAGAAAAGCAGCCAGCTGCCTGCTATATAATGAGGAATGTAGATCTTGGGGAATTAAACTCAACTGCTTTATAAATGACGCACTTCAATCAATTCTGAAACTTAATACTGATAATAAGTTGTGCTGATATGCAAAAAGATATAGGTCAAAATTGGCCGTCGAAATCAGACGGAGGAACAGAATGAAAGATTTTTTTTACGTCTATGTCTGATGTGGTCTAGACGTCTGATTGCCGTCTTATTGAACGTCAGTAAGACTTTCATTGTGCTTTGAATAAATGTCTTATTCTCCTCTGAAGGTGCAGAATAAAAGTTTTTCTTGAGTCTATTTCTGACGTGGTGTAGACGGCCGATCATCGTCTTATTAAATCAACCTAATTTCGACATCCACGGGACATCTATTTACATAATGACGTCTTCCACATTTTGTTTCAATACCTTTCATCAAATTGTATTTCAACCTGAAAAACAGGACTATAGTTATGCACAGAGGTTTACAATTACAACTAGTTTCCTTTCATTTCCCATCTATTCATTTAACATCTTAAGGTAAAAAAAAAATAAAATCACTTCTGCAATTATAACTTTAAAACTACATCACCCAAAATTCTGTCAATTAAAACTTCACATAATGCAGAAATAGCATTTTGCAATTGAAATTGCCACTCCCATTCAGGAAAAAAGCAAAGTATTTACACACACATTTCCAGCTAGACAAACTCCTTACATTTATGTGTGTGTGTGTGTGTGTGTGTGTGTGTGTGTGTGTGTGTGTGTGTGTGTGTGTGTGTGTGTGTGTGCAGTCTTAAAACAGAGAGAGAAATGGCCCATAGCATTAGTAGTAGCTCTGTAAACCTGGAAATTGTAATTTAAAAACATGATTGTCTCTTTCTTTCCTGTATAGGTGTCGGCCATTGCTCCTGGCAGGAATGTCATAAGAAGTCCTACCTCTTCTTGATAGCAGCTTAATACCTGCTTGAGGTCTGTGTTTGGAGCTCCTCGCAGCAGTCTGTTCTTTACAGTTGTGGTCTGGTATAGAGAAATAGCAGACCTTAGAATGCAGCAGTTGACCAATCAGAATAAAGTATTTAACACTGCTGTGCAGCAATCATCTCCACACACTGCATTACCCTTTACATTAATTCACCAATGCTCATGCAGATGTCTTTAGGGAGGCATATAAATTGATACTTGAAATTAACTCAGTCACCTCCATATTCATAAACTAATTTTCTCACCTCATTTAAGCATGAAGATTTTTGTTTTGACAGATGAAAATTAGTCACTTATCAGATCTCTGGTTGTTAAATCCTAACGATTACCCTGAGTGTACTGTCTGAACAGATGAAAACACATATACTGTTTACAATAATGCCTATGCTACAGCAATTATAGAGCATCTTTACATGCCTAATCAAGGCTCTTCACAGGTTGCTCTGGCTGATGTTTGTGTTTTCATGGCTAACACACATATTATGCTAATTGGATCAAGTAAACACCTTGTCGAACAAACCTGCGCTGATGAAAGACGAATGGTTTAGATGACTGGATGAGTGCTTGGTGATGATCCAACATTTTAAACTATGAGCTTCATTTTTTTCTGCTTTTACACTGGAAAAAAAAGGTCACTCCAAAAATAAGTTTAAAAAAATATACAACACATTCACATCATGAAGTTCAATGATGTTTGTCCTCATTTCAAAATGCTGACTTTTTGCTTAGCTAGACACCGAATAGAGATAAGGGTGACTAAAGCAGTCCTGGTTGCCGGCTACAATGCATCCACCTATCAATCACATTTCCACAATTGACTGAAGTTATGGCTAATTAGTCATAGCTCTTAGCCTTTAATCAGAACAGAGAAGTGATGGGAAAAAAAATCAACCCTAATTTTGCATATGAATAAATAAGGGATGGAGGCCGACATTTTTTATTGTGTCAGGATGTCAATATGGTTCCTTCCTCTAAAAACGGGCATTTTAACATGGGCTACAATGTGGAATCTCTGGGCTTTTGAGGCCAGTTCCAAGTGGTGTGTCATTTAATTCACTCCACTGAAGTACAACTTTTTCTGCAGCAGCTATCAGAAGACCTAACTCAAAACTTTTGAGAGTTTTGCAAGTATTGTTTCACCCCTGACTTGTATGCTGAGTCAGAGTGTCCAGTTTGTGTGGACTTCTGTCTGCCAGGAGTCATTTGAGTCCACAAAGGCCCTTTTATGTAGTGACCCTGTACTCACCACACCTGTTTCTGAGCATTCCTTTAAGTTGGAGGTGGATGCTAGCGCTACTGGTGCAGGTGCTGTCCTCCTACAGCAGGATGATCACGGTATTGACCACCCAGTCTGTTATCTCTCTAGGTAATTCAACAGACACCAGGTTAACTACAGCACCATCAAGACAGAGGCTCTTGCACTGCTGTGGGCTGCGATAGATGTCACAGTTCATGCGCATAACAGTAGATGCCAAAAGATGGGTTTGTAGTCTTAAAGAAAGTGAGGTGGGTATAGTGCCAAAAGCCAGACTTGTAGCCAGAGGCTTTGAAGAGTTAATATCCAAGAGCTACAGAAGGATTAACCAACTTGTGCCTCTGAATCACTAAGGTTACTGCTATTTGTCAAAATCAGTGGAAAGTCCATTCTATGGACATGAAATCAGCTTTTCTGTGGGCTGTTCAACACTTTCAAGTCTATGTCAGTTCCAGTCCTGAGACACTTTTTGTGTTCTTGGATCATAATCCTCTTGTGTTTCTTTCGTGTATGTTCAACAGCAATGAGCGCCTCATGCGCTGGTCCTTGTTGTTTCAGGACTTTAATATCGAGGTCCGTCACATTAAAGGTGTTGATAATGTTGTCTTAGATGCCTTATCCAGAGATGGGTTGTAATTGATCAAACATTTCTTTTAGGGGAAGAAATGGTTGATACTCACGCACTTACACACACACAGTCATGATCCTTCTGTACACACCAATAACACAAGAAAGCATTCATGTTTTGGTTTTTGTGTGCTGAAAGGCCTGGAAAAGTTATCTTTAAAATCCCTGGTCACTCCAGTATCTTACACTACCCTGTTAAGTCTGCAACTGGGGCTGGGGAGCTAAAACCCTTGAAAAAGGACTGTTTTGCACAGCTTCTTGTGTGTGCTGGCACTCTGTATCTCCAGGGTAGTTAATTTTGCAATGTGGTGCAGGCTTACTTTGTGAAATACAGAGAAGAAAAATGACACAAGAATGAAATGATGGTTCTTAATTCCAAATTGGGTCTCTGCAATGTGCTTCCCCAGTTAAAACATATATCCTTAACCAATCTCAGCCTGAACAAAATGGTTGACAAAGATCACACTGACACCTTGTTCTGTTGAGTTTTGGCGAATCATACACTCTGCTGCTCAGACCACCTTCACTGTTCACTCTGAGGGGATCATCAGCCCACCACTGTATTTAAACTTGAAGAAGATGGTAGCTCTGGTCAAAAGATGAGGGTACAGCATCTGTAACATAGCTTGCATGGCACACCTCACAGGACAATTTTTTCAGAATTTTTCTGACAGCAAACCCCAAAATGTTGACCAGGGCATTGTCCACAAGACCACCAAGCAGGTTAGCAGGTAACTGTAGTCACATATGACTGGCTCTTCCTCCGCCATTAACGCAAAGTGCATGTCTACAGCTGACGGGGACACAGTCTCCTCTTGTGCTGCCACATAGCCTGACCCACTTGGTGAGACTCCACAACGGACCATCAGACAGCAGAAAATGCCTTGAAACTGCCCTGAGATTGTTGTTCAAGGCTCCTCAAAGAAAATCAAAAACATTTACAGAAATATTTAATGAGGACAGGTAGGCTATTAAAGATAGGAGGATAATAACTGTATAACCATGTTTCTTCCACAAGTAAGGTATAAAGATATGCACACTGATGTCTGAGCCTAGAGTGAGGAGACCCAACCAATATGGCAATAACACTCCAGCTCGTAATGAGGCGCCCATGTATATTATGTCTTTGTAACCATGGTAGTGACTTTTTTACGGCAGTCAGAACCAGTCTTGTTCTACAGACTTATAACATCCTTGCTTCAAACATGATCTGGTGTCACCTCTTATGTGTATTTGTGGCAATTACTCTTACTACAAATCTTATGAGTCACATTTGCACCATGCAGCCCTGACTTTCATATGGTGTGTGGAATTGATGGCTGTCCAAGTGAGCACAGGGTATAAAACCTCTTCTGATATTACGTGAAGTGGACGCACGTACATCATCTTGTCCAAGTTGAAACAGCTGAAGAGGAAGGACGCCACAGTATGTAGAGCAAGTGAAAGTTTCAGTCAGGCAAATAAATCCAGAAAATACCCTCTTGGGAGTGTATATTAGGAGGAGATTCTTTTGAGATTTCAAATAACCAGTGGCGGCTGCTGGTCTTTCAAGGAGGGGAAGCTCATTTTTCTGGCCTACATCATAATTGTATTTGTTTATTTGTATGTAACAGAACAGAGTCGCCAAACACAACGGCAGTCGTTTTTAACAAAGACAAAAGTCGCTGAGGATCGGTAAAGTCTCTGGAGCAGTTAAGAACAACGGAATGAATAACTTGGAAAATGCTCTGGTAGATGTTTTATTCTTCAAGATCGCTGATTCGCTTGTTTAGCTGTCAATCAAAAAAGGATTTCGCCTCAGACAGCTCATCCAATCATGGATGCAGAAGCTCGGAGTCCGGGAGAAAGTCGGGACCGCCCTCTCGCCATAGAACTCCAGAGAAGCTCAGCGTCCGATGGGCGGGACAAAGCCCAGCATTTATCCAATGAGCGTCTAGTTTCGCTGCTGGAACAACCCACTTTAAGCTTCCACATTGAAGTCAGCAGAAGCTGAGCGTCCGGCTGTGTGAAGCACTGAGGCGCTGTGAGGATGAATGAGAACGAAGTTGTGCCGGTTACCTGTGATTATCAGCTTCTTATCACAGTGTGATAAGAAGCTGGCTTCTAGCGCGTATTTAGTTAATGAAATGTACACACAGCAGTACGTATTTCACCACTTTTTCTTTTTTTGGGGGTGTGACATATTAAGGGAAGCTGAGCTTCCCTTACAGTCTTAGAGCAATCGCCACTGTAAATAACTAATACTATTATAATTTTGATATTATATACAAGGAGCACATCTATGTACAACAAGCACTCCTTTTTCACTTGTTAACCTATACAGCAAAAACACACAAAAAAAAAAAAAAACAGTCGGAGCAGTAGATGTTTGAAAAACTTTTTTTTTTTTTTTTTTTGGCATGTCCCATTGGCTTTAATGCAAAATTTTCCCCCAGTTTTTCACAACGTAGGATGCAAAAACTTCTTATCCAATAGAGAAAAGTAATAGCACACTGATCCTGACCAAACTGCTCATTTTGACATATAATCTAATTTGTCCTACAACTCTTCAAGCTGTAGGATTAGTAGCGAATCAAAGGTGTCCAGAAAAGGAATAAGAAAAAATCCACAGAATTACAATTGTGCCTTAGTGCATTTGCCCCCTACCACTACTATAAGTTTGTTTTACTGAACTAGAATTGTGACTAGAAAAGTGTCCTCCATTAAACTAAGGGTTAAGAGAATAAATGTGAGAGCAGAAGCTTTCCAACTATTTGCTTCTGGTCATTCAGGTCAAGCACAAACCAATCTTTACATCTTGTCTTTCTACTGACTTTCATCAAGCTTTTTCTCTCTGCTTTTCTAAAGAAACCCAGATTACTGCATAAAAAATTCATCATGTACATTTGACCCCTGCTGTGACAATAGGGCCTGGAGCGGGACATTAGAAGCTCATTTCTAGCTTGGATTGAGTGCTCAAGAAGTGAAAAACTGTAATTCCTCTTTCATAATGGCTGAGCATATCAGTGCTTTAATGAATCTCATCATGCCAGCAGCTTTAGCCATCACTATTAATAATATCCACTTTTCATAAAGCTGCTGATTTCTTTTATTTATGCTTGCTTGTCTCTGCTGGCTGCCTGTGGAAAGCGGGCCTGCATAATCATGCTAATAAATTAAGCCCAATAGAACTGTCACATCTCATTTGGACTCATTTGCACATGATTGTGTTTGTTTATATTCAGGCTGGGTGGAAAAAATGAGAAGCTTTGACTAGCAAATCACTGGAATTAATGAATTTCACTGCTGTCCCTCTCCACCCTCCACCCTGCGTGAGAAATCAAACGTTTTCTTTCTGTTTCTTCTGGCAGAAACTCAACATGGTGGAGTGATCCTGAGAGGAACGCAGCTGTCAGGCGTCAACTGACATCTTTCTTTGATATGCCATGTATGTGTGTTTGGCGGGTGTGTGTTTTTGTGTGCATGTGATGAGGCTCTCTCCAGGAGTATTAGTGTTCAGCATGTAATAAAAAGCAATCAGCTGCCATGCAGAGGGAAATGATTAGGCTGCAGATGATGACAGGCAGTGAGCTGATCAGTGAATGACAGTCCTCTCTGCTTTTATTTTCTCTGACTCACGCTGCTGCTGAACTCATGAAGAAAGACACTTACACAAATGTCTGATCAGGATGTAAGGAGGTTACAAAACAAAGTCATTCATCACAAAGTATAAAAGACTTTAACTCGAGTAAATTATGTTTTTAGGAGCTGCTTCAAATAGACATGCTAGGTCTTTTGATAAAAAGAAACCCAAAAGTAAATCCTTGTTTCCTCTTCCAGCTTAAGACTAGTTTTTGACTTTGCATCCTTCAAGTGTAGAGATTATGGTTTTATACCCACCCACTCCCTACATTATTGTAACTTACTGCCTGGTTATCATTTAAAGATATTAAAAATGTTTAAAATGTTTGATATTAAACTAAGATCAGTTTATTATCATTAAAATGCCATCCCTGTAAAAAGTATACATACTGTATTTGTTTCTTAATCTCAGGCACTGTGACCTCACATCTGTGTGTACTGTAGTTGTTTGTCTCTGTCCAGCTCCCTCTTTCTCCATCTCTCCCTCTCTCTCCTCTCTAAGCCCAGATCAGTCTCAGCAGATGACTGCCTAACATGAGTCTGATTCTGCTCGAGGTTTCTGCCTGTTAAAGAAAGTTCTTCCTCTCCACTGTAACTTGATAAATGCTGTAAAGTGTTCCATTTGTATTGTTGAAAATGAGGATTGGAGTGGTTCTGATCTTACAAGATGGGACTGAATCTGATCCCATCTTTACATTGGGTATTTGTAAACAAGAGTATGGTTTAGACCAGCTTTTCACATAAAGGAAAGTTGGATAACATTTGTTGTGAATTGGCACATTACATTTTAAGATTGGTTGTAAAATCTGAGAGTTTTTGGAAAAGGTGCTGTATTCCCTCATTGATCATCTGGAGTAGGATATGGGCACTCTTGAAAAGAGACAAAGTTAGTCATGAGAACAGGAGAACATACAGTAGACCAAGCAGAGGGAGGCATTTTACCACATTCATGATTCTTTATCTTTCTCATTACTCAAAGCAACTGGTTTTATATCATTTTTTTAGGTACATATAAAAAAAGATGAGATGAGAAGAATTGTAATTATTTAACTCATCCAGGCTTACTGTGTTAAGGAAAATGCACAATTTGTGGCACCCCTAGCATCCTGGCTGAACTGTTCTAGTCCAAGCAAATTCAGGAGTCATAAGAAAATCAGGATTGGAGTCACACATGGTGAAGTCGTGTTTTAGTTGAGATAGAGAGACATAAAGAGAGAGAGCGAGAGACAAGCTTCAGCTGAATAGATAAATAATTTAATATTCACCATGGTGACATGTTTCCTGCCTCATCAAAGCAACTTTCTTTGATAGCTCTCTGTGTCAACATCTTTGCCCTGCGCTGCTCGTCTCACTCTGCTCCTACATCTTCCTACACAACACCTTTTAATGCAGAGACAGAGAGGACGAGATTAAAGAGTCAGGAGGAAGAGGAAGCTGTGTTTTCCCTCAGAGGAAGAGGAGCTTTGTTACTGAGCAAAGGCCCGGCGGTGGATCCTAATTATAATGTAGAAACCTCTGTAGCTTGTAAAAACCTCTGTTCCTGCCTGGCGTCTGCTTTGACTTACTGCTTGCCAGGCTGCTAAGCTGAGTGTTATATTTAAGAGCATCAATAAGTCATTCCACCTTTAATTTTGTAGATGAACAAAAAGATCGCCTGTGGGGGATACAGTGTGAGATTGGGCAACGCTTTTTAATAGAGCTGACCTCTCTTGTTGATCTTACATCTATCACTTCTGTTTTTTTGTGTTTCCTGCTTTTTTCCTTTACACTGAAGTGAGAAAAAGTGTTCAAAATTCAGGGTTGTTTTTTTTTTGGCATATTGACTGATGAAAAGTTTGTGCTAGTGCTCAAAACTTTAGATTGCACTCAACCCACAGTGTAGAAACTTAAGTTCAGCCTGCATAAGATGAGGAAACTTTTTTTAAGTAGTGCAGCATTCTCACAGTGGTGGTTACAGAAGAGTGTGTTGAAGACCCTGAAAACCAAAACAGGAGAGGAAATTAAGCCGTATTTACACATGTACAAAACACCCCAGAAGTGTTTGAGTTTGAACACATGTAATCCAAATTTTCACCTTGACTTTCTCCTGCTATCTCATTTATGAAACTTTTGCATGAGCTGAAGTGAGGACACAGCAGAAAACAATTAGGATAATCACTCTATAGTCATGCAACTGCTGTGAACCCTTTCTGAGTATGTGCTGTTTCGGAAGACCATAGACCCCAACATTCACCTACAAAGATAGAGGCTCTTTCCTGATTCTCCGTGCTGTGAGATTGGGAGTGGAATTGAGGTAAAAGAAAGACCATATTGGAATAAACTTTTAACAAATAACTGAGGAAATATTGATCCAGCTTTGCAGTGAGTTACAGGATACTGTGTTTTGTTGAATTTGAGACAAGTGCCTGTTAGCCTTGTCCGTATTGATCTGTCTGGCTGCAGAGGTACTTCACAATAACAGCAGTTTTTAAAGACATGACCTAGCAGACACTTTCTCGTCTTCCCTGAAAAGGGGGGATTTGAACAAGCTCACAGAGGGTGGGTCATAACTTGCTTCTGCTTTCATCTCTTCATCCTCTTGTGATTTTGTGCATGTGTGTGAAGATGTCTGAGAGATGGAGGGAAGTCTTTAAACAGTCCTGATGTCCCCTTGAATCTGTCTCACCAGCCTTGACAGTCTCTTTGAACTCACTTAAAGGAAAGCTCAGACACACTTCTTTAGGAAGCCCTCTTTACATGAGTCAATGTTAATGCTTCACTGTACTTCAGACTGCTGAGCAGAGGGGGACGTGTCGCCTCACCAGAGAGGAGCCAATTAAGGTGTATCCCTGAGAGTGTTGGGGCTGAAGACAGCGGGGTGCAGGGCTTTCATGCTCGGTTGAGGCTTTTAGGGTTTGGTTCAGTTTGGCACGCGATGTGAGAGAAATAATGGAGTGAGAAGATGGGATTCAATTGGATTTTTTGAGAGACTGGACCTCAATGAACCACAAACTTTCACTTACCCTCTGGTCTTCTGGTATAACAGATTTTTTTTTATCTGTACAATGTGCAATAAAAGCTTAATGAAAGCTTAAGGTTGTGGAACCTTTGAATGTTTTTGATGTGTAGGGGGAGCAACCAGACACAACACCACAGTTTAAACCTTTAATGAAATGTCGGACAACCTGAACAAAATAACAATCATTACTTCCACAACTTTTAAACATGAAAGGACA